CCCGGGGGGGGGCGCGGGCGAGGGGAGATGCAGGGGCTGAGGGGCCAAGGTCTGGGAGGGGCTGGAGCCGAGGGAGATGCAGGGGTTGGGGGGGCTACGGTCTGGGAGGGGCTGGGGCCAACTCATTGTTGATGTCGCACTGAAAACCTCTTGCCAGGTCAGCCAGCTACAGACTGGGCCCCTCCTCAGCTGGGTCCGGGCAGTCCCTGCTGGTTGGCTGTTTCCTCCCCTTGGGTACTGGTGCTTCTGAACCTGCTGGGCCTGACCCACAACAGCCAGATAAGCCACTGGGTTGGGGGACCTTGGACCGTCAGCACCAGAGTCATGTGGGTGCGTTTCTTCCATAGCCAGGCAATTGTGTTGGTGCTCGAGGTCTGGGCCACAGCCGACATGGCTGGTCCAAAGCTAGAGCAGACAGTCCTGGTACCCCGAGAACGGGGAGCACCAAAATCCTGGGTCTACACAGGAACTGGCCGCAGCCGGCAGCCCAGAGCTGGGTGGCTCTGCAGCAAACCCAGCTCTGGGCTGCAAATCCAACCTGCAGCCAGTTGCTGTGGAGCCACGTTTTGCTTCTCCTGTAGGTTAGCCCCTTTCTGGCCAGGGGTTAGGCCCTCAGCTCTGCTGGCTTCCCCCTCTGGGCCCACACTTGGTATTAACGTTGCTTCTGTCTCCCGGCCATCAGTGGCCTCCAGCCCCCAGGAGATGAAGCATTTTATAGAGCTGATGAAGTTCCACATCCAGATCTGTACCCATGACAGCCTGGTGAAGGCCCTGTGGTGTCAGAGCCAGACGCTGCCCCTCTGCCTCGTCCTGGAAGCCATGAGTCTCGGGAACTTCCTGGGCTTCCTGTGGCAAACCCGTCAGGTAAGAGGAGCCAGGTGGGTTTGAAGCGGCCAAGCTGTGGTGGGGGACGCCAGGCAACGGGCCCCCCCCCCCAGCCCCTGCCAGCTCGCTCTGCAGTGCAGCCTTCTTAGCATCCCCTGGCAGAAGGGGGAGATTTTAGCAAATGCACAGCAGGCAAGGCTGGGGGAAGGCAGAGGGCTAACAGTCTCGTGGTATTTGGAGTTTTTCTGAAAGCCCCAATTTGATAGAGTTCTAGGTAGGGTTGCCAGGTGTCCGGTATTGACCCGGACAGTCCGGTATTTTCACCTCCTGATCGGTAAAAATTTTTAGAAAATACCGGACACAAAAAAATGTTCGGTATTCTCTGATTTTTTTCCCAGCCAGGAGGCGAAAATACCGGACACCTGGCAACCCTAGCACCCAGGCCCTGCCCCCGGCCTTCCCCCTGGGCCCCGACACCCCCAGGCTCCCGTCCCCGGTCCCCATGCTTTCCTGGTTCCACAGGGAAGCTGAGTTCTGGCTTGAACAAGAACACAAAATGGACACTGGCAAAAAGCCTAAAGACCAAGGGGAAGCAATGCCTTCCCTGGGTCTTAGTGCTCAACTGCTCCCCTGTTCCTATCCCTGTTCTAACTCTGCACTCACTCTGAAAGGGGCCATGCTGTTTTATTTTTTTTTTTTTTTTCTTAATAAGTCTCGGTGTCCTTTTTACAACTTTGGTCTCCCCCCACTTTTTTTTCCCCCAACAGAATTTTCCCCCCGTTTTTTTTGGGGGGGGGAGGGGTGTTCGGTATTTTTGGTTCAACCATCTGGCAACCCTAGTTCTAGGCCGGGAGGGCTCAACCGGTCCCCTTGTCTGACCTCCTGGCTAGCCCAGGCCACTGCATTTTATGCTACCTCAGTGTATCAGAGGCAGCAGTGCAGGGTGCCAGGCAGGAGCTGGTCTCTGAGGGGAGCCAGTTTAAAAAGCAGCTCCCTTCACGGACCAGCTGCCTGACACCCTGTACTGCTGCCTCTGATAAAGAGGCAGCAGTGTGGGGTGGCAGCAGCCCTTGTCTAGGGGGGGTCTGAGCTCCTGGGCCCGGCGCGAGCTGGAACTAAGCTGGGCCGTCTGCCTGCCCGGCTCATAATACACTTTAAATGCAGAGCCACAGCAGGATAGGTCCTGGACCTGTCACAAGCCACGACTGAGCCGGGCTGCTGACCAGCCTGCTAAAAATGTACTGGCAGGGGTGGGGAATGCGTGTAGTCTGTAGCATTAACCTATACGCTTTTGCTTATCGGTTAATGGGTTAATCGACTCCACTGTTACATCCCTCGTGCTGACTGGTGCCCTCGCTGTGCCTGCAACACCACAGATCCTGGGACTTCTTTAGGACTAATCAGATCTCTCCAAGCACAAAGCAGAGAGCCGGAGATCCCACCTGCCAACCCAAACGCCTCCTCTTTGAACTGCAGCATAGAAAGGAAGGTTCTGAGCTGAGTAAAGAAATCCCCTTTCCCCCCACCCTGGGCTGGTGGGCCAGCCCCCTGCCCTGGCTAACAGGGAGACTAGGTTTACACTACAGGGGTTTTGCGCAAAACCCCGCAGAGCGTCCATAGCTCTAGGACGTTTTTATGCAAATAAATTTACAGTAAAGCGAAAGAACAGAGGGGTTCTTGTGGTGTACGTATTCCTCTTTCTACAAGGAATGACTCCTTTTTCATAGAATCATAGAACACTAGGACTGGAAGGGACCTCGAGAGGTCATCGCGTCCAGTCCCCTGCTCCCATGGCAGGACCAAATACTGTCTAGACCATCCCTGCTAGACATTTATCTAACCTGCTCTTCAATATCTCCACAGATGGAGATTCCACAACCTCCCTGGGCAATTTATTCCTATCTGTCAGGGTGGTTAAACACTGGAATAAATTGCCCAGGGAGGCTGTGGAATCTCCATCTCTGGAGATATTTAAGAGCAGGTTAGATAAATGTCTATCGGGGATGGTCTAGACAGTACTGGGTCCTGTCATGGAGGCAGGGGACTGGACTTGATGACCTCTCGAGGTCCCTTCCAGTCCTAGTGTTCTATGATTCTATTCCAGTGTTTAACTACCCCGGCAGTTAGGAACTTTTTCCTAATGTCCAACCTAAACCTCCCTTGCTGCCGTTTAAGCCCATTGCTTCTTGTTCTATCCTCAGAGGCCAAGATGAACAAGTTTTCTCCCTCCTCCTCATGACACCCTTTTAGGTACCTGAAAACTGCTCTCACGTCCCCTCTCAATCTTCTCTTTTCTAAACTAAACAAACCCAGTTCTTTCAGCCTTCCCTCATAGGTCATGTTCTCTAGACCTTTCATCATTCTTGTTGCTCTTTTTGCGCAAGAGTTCTTGCGCAAAAAGATGTGTGTGGATGGGCAACAGGGGGGGGGGTTGCACAAAAAGAGCCAATCGAAAAAGGCACAGGTGCTCTGGTGGCTACTCTGTAAATAGCAATCAGAGCTTTCTTTTGAGAGAGCGGCCATGCCGTCTGGACACTCTCTTGCACACAAGGGCATCGCTTTTCCGATGTGCTTGTGCAGTGTGGACTTGCTCTTGCGCAAGAAGTTTTTTCGGAGGATCTCTTCCGCAAAAAGCTTCTTGCACAAGAAGCCTGCAGTGTAGACGTAGCCAGAGAAGGGGGACCTGGAATCCAACAGTGTCAAGTTTGGGACGGGGCCAGGTTAAAGCTGCCAGGGTCCTGATCTGTAGCCCCAGCCGTGTCTGCAGCGCCAGGGAGGTAACCCAGGTCGGACTGTCACTGGCACAGCTCACTGGCGGTGCTGGTGTGGAGCAGAGTTGCCAGAGTGAGTTGACTCTTGTTCTTTTGACTTGGCAGGGGAGCGTGCCCAGGAAGGGGCATATTCATGTGCTGACGGAGAAGAAAGTGTTTGCCATGGCGATCCAAATTGCACGCGGGCTGGTAAAGAGAGGGGAGGCGAGAGGAGGGGGGTTATTTCAAGGTCAATTCATTAATCTTTAGAGAAGGCTTGTTCCTGGGGTGATCCCAAACTTGGGGGGCCCTTTCCAGCGCTGACCCTCTCGGCGGTCCCAGAGCTCGGCTCCAGCTGGGAGAGCACCTGTCCCTGCCGGGCACACAGGGGCACTCCTAGAGCTCCTCAGCCCTCCCCTACAAGGCAAACGCACTCAGCCCGGTAATGCTGCCAGAAGGGGACGGGGATTTCCTCAGGCCTCGGCCTCAGCCATTCTAGATCCCAAGCAGCCCCCCCCCCCCCCGGGGGCCGGGGTACCCGGGGGGCGCCTGACGCTCGCTGCCCCCCCAGCTCACCTCTGACTGGCTCTGCTGATTGCAGGACTATCTGACAGCAAGCCAGAGGCTGATCCACGGCGACGTAGCAGCGCGAAACGTCCTGATCCACCAGGATCTGACAGTCCGGCTCTGCGGCCTGGGGCTGGCAGGAGAGGTCTCCCGCCGCCCGGCCGTCTAAGGAGGCAGCTGAGGTGCCCATCAAGTGGCTGCCACCGGAAAGGATCCTGAAGCACCCGGTCACCGCCAGGAGCGACGTGTGAGTAATGCACGCCGGCCGGAGCTCGCCTGAAAGCCAAAACACCGGCCCTCGGGGGAAGGGCACGCCAGCCCTCGGGAGGAAGGGAGCGCTGGCCATCCAGGGAAGGGCACGCTGGCCATCGGGGGAAAGGGCATGGCAGCCATTGGGGGAAGGGCATGGCAGCCCTCGGGGGAAGGGCACACTGGCCCTTAAGGAGAAGGGTGCCGGCCCTCGGGAGGAAGGGAGCACTGGCCATCCAGGGAAGGGCATGCCAGCCCACGGGGGAAGGGCACATTGGTCATCAGGGGAGGGCATGCCGGCCATCGGGGGAAGGGCACGTTGGCCATCAGGGGAAGGGCACACTGGCCCTTGAGGAGAAAGGCACTGGCCCTCGGGAGGAAGGGAGCACTGGCCATCCAGGGAAGGGCATGCCAGCCCACGGGGGAAGGGCACATTGGTCATCAGGGGAGGGCATGCCGGCCATCGGGGGAAGGGCACGTTGGCCATCAGGGGAAGGGCACACTGGCCCTTGAGGAGAAAGGCACTGGCCCTCGGGAGGAAGGGAGTGCTGGCGATCCAGGGAAGAGCACGCTGGCCATTGGGGGGAAGGGCATGCCAACCCTTGGAGGAAGGGCGTGCCGGCCATTGGGGGAAGGGCGTGCCGGCCATCGGGGGAAGGGCACGCCGGCCCTTGGGGGGAAGGGCGTGCCAGCCATGGGGGGAAGGGCACGCCAGTTATCAGGTAGATTCTGGTTCCACTGGCTACTGGCCCCTTGTCCCTCCACTCCATGGCAGTGGGGGCACAGGACCCTCTCTGCCCCCCTCCCATCTGTGCCACCTCTGCATGAGAGAAGCCACTTTGACTTTGTTTCTCGTGTTTTCTCCCCAGCTGGGCGTTTGGGATCCTGCTGTATGAAGCCGTCACACTGGGTAAGTCAGCTTTGCTGTTCTAACCGAATCGATCAGTGACGATCGACGGAGAGATCCCGTCCCATCGGGGGCAGGGCCGCTGTTCCTCGCCGCTGCGCCGGCCCCGGGAGGAGAAGCAGCCCAGCTCTGGGAAGGGGCCTGCGTCCGGTCCCTCCAACCCCGACAGGGGCCTTGGATCCAAATCAAACCCCCAACCCTGCATCCCCAGGGCATCGCCCGAGAGCACGTCCGGCACTTCCCTAGCCCCTCCCGAGGGCCCCCAAGCACTACAAAGTGCAGTGTCCTTCCTAGAGAGCGCCGGCCCCGGGAGGAGAAGCAGCCCAGCTCTGGGAAGGGGCCTGCGTCCGGTCCCTCCAACCCCGACAGGGGCCTTGGATCCAAATCAAACCCCCAACCCTGCATCCCCAGGGCATCGCCCGAGAGCACGTCCGGCACTTCCCTAGCCCCTCCCGAGGGCCCCCAAGCACTACAAAGTGCAGTGTCCTTCCTAGAGATGGGACAGCCCAGAGCCAGGCATGAGGAGCCTTGCACCAGTCCCCAGGCCCTGCCAGCCCCCAGGCCCTG